GTGTATGTGCGTGGACATTTACGTTTAAATCATTTTAGCTTACAATGATTGCTGTGTACGGTTTCTTTTATTTAAGCCATACATATCATTGTGACAATATATTTTACTCGGTAATCCCGTTGTAGTCATAGTCTAAAACGAATTATGTTTATGGACTATTTTGTGATTGATATAGAATAACTAACCTATTTCTATTTTACTCTCCTTCAGGTCAATCTTATTATTAATCAACTTCCCAAACTCCCTAACGATGCCCACTACATGTGCGTGTTTGGGAACAGCACACCCATCATTGCCAATACCAATGCTTCAGGCCTTTCTTGTGAGACCCCTGACTTAACAGAGCGACCGTTAATACCAGCAGGCAGTGGTAAAACGTGATGTTTTATTATTATAACTTTTAATACTTGTTGTTTCTTTGAATTAAGTCGTGTCTTATTAACAACCCCAACATTTTCCATGTGTTATGCTATATGTTATTGGGATTGGTTTTACTTCCAATACAAAAAAGAATAAAAGCAGGCACGTCAAAACATTCAAAACACTGAGATGGTAAATGAATAAAAATTGTCTGACATTCAATAAAAACGCTTTAAGATATTATTCATCAATTTCACGCAATAACAAGCACTATGTTGTATATAAAATTAAAGAAAATATACAAAGTACGACTCAGCTTGTTTACTTGGTACTACAAAATCGTATTTGCATATATATGTTTGCCTTCTCAAGCACATTGGATATGGCACGTTTTTCGAAATAGGTTTTTACATGCCAGCTGCATGGAAAAAATAATTGATAAAAATTGTTGTCAACAGAGTATCAGGGGCAGTGATATTCGGCCCATTAATGTAATTATTGGGAGTTACGAGCCCCATTCCCAATTCCCGTCGTCTATGAAAAATGTACATTACTATTAAGTTATAGTCCATTTTCCATAAGGGAGTTTAAAGTTGTTAATGTTTTGCTAATATTTATTTCATGTATAGACACCTGTCTCTCGCCCTTTCAACCGTAGGGACGTTATAATGTGTTGGGCGATCCCACTATTCGTTGGTAAAAAGTAGCCCAAGAGTTGGCAGTGGGTGATGATGACTAGCCGTCATCCCTCTATTCTTTCTCTACTAAATTAGGGACGGCTAGCGCAGATAGCCCTCGTGTAGCTTTGCGCGAAAGTCGAAGCAAACTAAACATCCGTTCCTTTATCTATCTGTTAGTAATACATAATGTATCTATGTGTTCTAAGTTTTCAGAGCTGTTAAAATAATTCAGAGGGTAATTGGTTAACTGGATTGTTAGTCTGACCACTTTTTTAAAAATTAATTCAGCTAATCTCCTTCAATCAGTAAGATAATCGTTGGATTTTCTAGTCAGTCATGTAGCAGTATATCTTATCTTTATAATCAACTCTTCTTGCCATTTTTCTAGATCGCGTTACTGTGGATTTGGCAGTGCGTTCCAGTGAAACGAACACCGATTTTCTTCATAGACCATTTACGTTTTACAACTGTAGTGCCCACAATACGTAAGTGTTGACGTTATTTACAAGCCAAGTGACATAACAATAGGATTTGCACAGTGATTTCTTGGAGTTTCGATTTGCCTCCAGTTCATTTTCATGTAAATAGAAAAAAATAATTCCAGCAAAGTGCTAAGATTTGTTTACCCAAGTGAGTGCTATTTCTAATTCTAGAAATTATAAGGCTTGGAAGTTGGATTAATTGACAATTTTTATCGATACTATAGTGTAGAAGTAAAAAAACTGACCTGTAGATTATCCTAATTTATTAATTGCCTTTTCTTTAGGTGCTCAGGATGTGTTAGCAGTTTTAGGGAGTGTAATTGGTGTTTGTACCAGAACGCGTGTGTCTATAACACCAGCTTCTGTCTGGGTGACATTGTCATAGGAGAAACTAACGACAGTAACGTAAGTGTGAAAATCATAGAAGTTGAGAAATCGGTTAATTGTAATGATATATTTTGTGTGTGTGTGTTAGTTGGGATGAGAGATTTCAATCTGTAATCTGGTCATAATTGTCTTTGTAAGATGGATTGTGTATGAACATTTTTAAATATGGCTATATTTTATTTTAAACTTAAACTGTTTGCTTCAGCCTAAAATCTTATGACTTAAAATTAAATATTGAGCAATAATGAAAAAAAAAATCATTAGTACGACTAGTTTGGCAGAGTTAAGATGGTTTTAAGTTTTTTGAAGAATGTTGTTAAATATTTGTTGTATATTTTCTTAGTATATATATATATATATATACTTCCACACTTTTACTTATAAATTAGTAATGTGTAATCAAATTATAAAAAAATTATTTCATTAACAGTTCAGCTGTGTATGTGTTTGTCTTTAGTGTGAACTACACATCATTGTTTTACTGATTATGGTTTAGAACATTAACTCAACAAAACTACAGGATTACCAACAATGCCCCATGCTTGATGTGAAAGAAGAAATATTGCTACCTGATGGAGAAAACTGTAGAATTGAAATGGATATTAAGCATTTCCCAACTTCTATGGTAAGGTTTTGTGGTCACAAAAAGAGATTTGAACCCTGTCTAAAGATTAAAAGTGTCTGTCTCTTCATTTCTAGATTTTAGTTTTGTTAGTTGTTGCATGTACATTATAATTACTTGATTTTAATGTTGATTAATCATTGCTAATGCTTGGGCATGTTATGAAACTAAGCTCAGATTGTGGTCTTTTTATCTGGTTTGTTTATAAATAATAATAAAGAGTAATCAAGAAAGATGAACAAGCAATTAGTTACATTTATCTGTGACTTTTTTAAATATTAGTACTTATGATTTAGGAAAATATATTTTTAAACTGAATACCATCAGTCACTTGTTTTCTTTAGCATGATCTCCAGTGTGTTATTGAAATTGAAGGAAGGAGAGAAGTGGTAGGAGCAGAAGTAATTGGCAGTAGAATTGTTTGTTCAGAAACACTAGTAAGTTGTAACAGTTCCTTATAATAACTCTTTCTCCTTTTACAGCTCAGTGTTATTCATTTGTTACTGTACAAGGATGATGTTCATATATAAGTATGTGTGAGTCGTCAGAAAACGTATAAGTTATTATAGTTAAAGATAAAAAGAACAGTGAAAAAATTAACAAAATTGGTGCTTTGGATGAGATAAATTTACTTACGTTACTTAACATTGAGTTGGAATGTATAATGTAGGTGGGTTAACAATGAGACAGGGCTTAGCACACAGGCAAGAAGTGAAATGTGAAATGGCTTTAAAATTTTAGATATCATATGTCTTCCTTTTTTCTTTTTTTTTTAAGAACAACAACCAGTGATGGTGTGACGTTTAAGAAAGTGGTACGGTACAAATTTTATGACAAAATGGTTATCTTTCATGTATTGTTTAATACAGCAACTTTCTTTATTCTTTACAATTAAAATTATACAAGCCAAGCCCTAACTAGTAAAATTGCATTCTACGTGTTAGGTCTAATAAACTCTCTCTCATATCAAATCAATCATCACTGCTACTAAGCCCAGCCTCTGATTGAATATGAAAACGAGGACAGAACATGCTAAATAATTGTTTGTAAGAATTTTATTTAAATTAGCATTTACCATGTGAAGTCAGCCTCTATGTTTTACATATGAGATACCATAAGAGAAAGTAGGTCTACAGTGAGGTAATGTGATGTGTGTGATTGACTGTATATGTCTGTACTCCATGGAAATGAGGATAATGGCATCAACTGTCAGTTTGTTAGTCTTTAATTTAGTGCTATTAATTTAGTAATCGTACTTACTCCTGCTTATCACAAGAGTGCAACCATTGCATGTTAGTTTGGCACATTTTGCCATAATATTATGTTCAGACCTCATAATTCTTTATTTAATTTAGATGCATATGCAGCATATTATAATACTTAGCCCTACTTATACAATTTTTTATAATTGCATCATTATGCCTGTTTGAGAGATTAGTGATTTAATCTGCATGGCAAATTGAAAATACCAAAATTTCTACTTGTGAAAACAAAATTAGAGTCAATTCATATGCATTTTTTATCTTTCAATTTTCACATTAGCTCTGGAGTTGATGAGAACAACAAATTGTTAATGACTACAGGTCAAAATTAGTTGGACATGACCCTAACTGTTGTGGAGTCAGGGAGAGTAATAACTTGTTTATGTTTATTCTTTACAACTTACTGTTTTCCAGTTTAATACAAGTTTCCCTTTTTTTCACATTCTCTTGAATCTACTTTTTTTTAGTGCACTTATAAGACCCAACTTGGAGAAATGAAGGCTAATCTAGCAGTGATGTGGCATGGGAAGGACTTGATAGACGAAACAACAGGTAACCTTTTAAAAAACACTAGAATTACAGCTTTCAATAAGCAGTTATATTTAGGATACCACCATTTAAGTCACTTTATTGTTGGTTTTTAGCACTTGCATATGGAAATTGGATAAAATCCATAAAAACTAAAACTTAAGTTTGGGTTTGTTTAATTTTTCACAAAGCTACTCAAAGATTAGCTGCCCCAGACAACCCCAATTTTGTAGTGATAAACTAAAGGAAAGGCAGCTAGTCAACACCACCTACCATCAACTCTAGGGCTACTCTTTACTAATGAAAAGAGGAATTGACCAACACATATAATAACACCATGGCTGAAAGGGTGAACATGTTAAGTGAGGGTATTTGAACCCACAATTTGGGAATTGCAAATTGATTTCTCTAACTACCAATCCATGCCAGGCCAGTTTGTTTTTGATAGTTTTAATAGTTTCAAACAAGAAATAAAGTAATATATGACTTGTGAAAAATGTTGTTTAAATATAAATCTGTTGACTGTTAGCTCCTTATAAATCTTAGTATTATTGTTTAATAAATGGACTCCAAGATGTCTAGTTTTGCTTCATATATATTTTTATCACTGTCCATTGTTTCAGTGTGAAAGAAATGTTTGTACCGAAATTAACATAAATCAATTTTTCTTTTATCCCAGTTACAATGTACAAATGTAATCTTCTTGCTGACCACGATAACCAATCAGACTGCTCTCTATGCCTTACCCGTGATCCTAAGTACAAGTGCGTCTGGTGTATGAACTCGTGTAGGCTTCACAGTAATTGTCCCAGTCACAACATGACCAAGACTTGCCCTCCACCAAGGATTGGTCAGGTGGGTTCTGATTACAAAATTATATGTAAATTAGATTATATATCCATCTAGTAGTGACAAGTGTTAACTAATTTGCGATACTTTTTTTGAATCTTAGTTTTATACCTTTCTCCTTTGTGACTTGTGGAATCTTATTGTCCTTGTGGTTCATGTTTTCTCTTATAGGAGCTTCAACATCACTCATGTACAAACCTGTATAACTGGCTGACCATGTACAAAGTTAATTGGCAAAGTTAAAATGTTTGGCACTAGTTAAATTTTTATTTTATTGTTTCAAATAAGGCTGTATGAAAAAGTGGAACTCTTTATTGTTTATGCCTACTAATTATTATGTTTACAATATCTTCCTTTTTGAATTTCACTTTGCATCTCCTTACCATATTAAAAACCTATTTTTGCATTTATATATGTAGGGTATTGAACTTGGCTCATCATACATTGACCAGTAACACTAAACTGATTATTGCCTGATTAGCTAATTAGGCCTTAATACATGAACACCCATATGGCCATAACTTCATAAAATTGTGTATATAGACATAATATATAATTTTATACATGCATTCATTTCTATTTTCTGACATTTGTTTTAAATACTCGTAGATTTTTAAAATAACGTTATATATGCACAACTATACAATTCTTTAACATACTGATAGCCTAAGCTACAATAACTTTTAAACTTTTGGTCTAAAGAAATAAATATAATTTCTTATATATGTTAAAATGAAAACTAAGAAATTTTAAAACATACAAAAAGTAAGCTTAGCTCATCTTGAAGTTATAAACTTACAAATTATCAATATCTTATAGAATTGAAAAGAAAAAATTATCAACCTACATGTACAATCATTTATTATATCTATGCAAGAAAAAAGTCAATGAAAAGCACAATTTAAGATGGATTATATATTATATAATATAATGTTATATTAGGTAGTTTTGTCTTTTATCTTTTAATTACTTGCTTTAGCTCATTGTTTTATCATTTCCTCTGTTATTATGACAATGCTTGCAACTTGATCAAAATGCATTTGTTCTAAATGTCTTTCTGTGAAACACAATTGATATATGATATCTGAGAGGATTAGATCCAACTAAACAAAGTGATATATTTTCTTTGTACATTCTGATATCACTAGCAGAATGAATGTAATGTACATCAAATATTAGTATTAATAAGAAAGTCATTATAAAGTAAAAAAAGATTCAGAAAACTTTTTACCTAAATGATTCAGCTTCATGTGACTTACCTTCACACTTATAATGTTTATATAAAAGTCAAAGTTATTATTTAACCAGTGAGTAATACCACATTTGGACTCAAGATATGTATTAAGTGCTGTTCTGTCATAATGAACCCCTAAATATGTGTTGAAGAAGTATTTGAACAGAACAAATTCGTTTTTTGTCTATTTTACACTATTAAATATGTATACACATATAATAAAGTTTTTAAGTTCCCACCTTCAGGTGACTATTTGTTTCTCAATTATTATAATTGGTGTTTTGGATCATAAAACTTAGTAAAAGCTTTTCATATCTTTAATAATATGTGTGTCACTTGGTCTCCCTGATTTGACAATGACCAATGTTTGTCAGGTTTGTCATAAATACATATGCTTTGGGGCTTTATTGAAAAGTTATATTAATAACAACTGCTCATCAATAAATTAAAAACAAAAACCTTTTGTTTTTTGAAAAGTTAAGTAGAACTGTATAATGATTTTGCTTATGGTTTACATTGTCATCTTGTTTATTCATACAATCCATATCATATTCAATCTTACATTTTCTAATATTATATATTTATGAATTTATACTTTTATTTTCTAAACAAGATTGAATTTTATTGTTATTGGATTTTTACAGCTCACAAAGGTATATGTTTTATAACTTAAAATATTTCACCTAGTATTATTTGACAAGTGTGTTACTTTGGTATTTTCAAGTTACCATTGTTGTAGCAACTGTGGCATTACCATTTCAACTTGAAACGTTTTCAGATAAAAAAGCATGAATCAAGCTTTGAATTATAATTTATATAATCTAAGTTTTATTGTTTTGTAACTGGATTTTGAACCACTTTCAAAGTTTGTAAAGTTTTCCTTTCTCATTATTGATAATAAATGCAGTCTTTATATACTATTTTCTGTTTAAATTAGTTGATATTTGTTATTGTTGTAAAAATAATGCCTTAATTTAAGTATTTTACTTGCAACGTATTGATTGATATTCATTAACCATAATCTATGGATGAAAATAATTACATCAATTATTTTTATGGTGACTAGCTATGAAATAAATGGGTCAGTTGTTGCTTGTAACAAAAAGTTATTTTACAATATGTATTTTGAATTAAAATATTTTAATCAGTTGTGAAAAATATAGACATATTTATATTATCTCTCTTTGAAAGAATTTGTTTTAATTTATTACCCAACAGATATACCCAATCTCAGGTCCAGTACAAGGAGGCACTCTAGTGACTATTAAAGGTAATAACTTGGGAACAAGCAGAGAAAATATCCAAGATAAAATCACAATTGGTGGGATCCCTTGCCATCTGGTGGAATATGATGTGTCTGTTAGGTAAATTTTCTTTTTTTGTAATTAAGCACAAAGTTATGCAATGGGCTATCTCTGCTGTGTGCACCATGGGTATAGAAACCTAGTTTCTAATGTTTAAGTCTGCAGATTTACTTATAAACATGATATCTCTAAACTTGGAGGGAAAAAATACTAATTTACACAAACAAGTGTGTTTTTCCTTTCATTTTATTTCAGTATTTTTTGAAAGCTCCAAAATATTTTTGCCCTGAATATACTACTACTATGGAATTTTATTTTGTGCAATTAAGTCATTTCTACCCATCAGTTTATATAATAATTAAGAAACCTCATTATAAAACAAGGATTTTGAAACAAAAACATTAGATTTCAAAGTTACCAGTCTGCATAATATCAATAAGTCAAAGTTAAAAATATCTTTGTTTCAATTTTTTCACATAATGAAATATGATCAGATACTTGTAACCATAGCTATTGCATTTTCTTTCCATGTTTGTATAATTTGCTGACTGAAGAATTCATGAAAGGGTATTAATCCAAATTAAGAGGTTATGTTGAATTTGTAAGCCTATCTACTGTATTATCTTAATGATAATATTTAAATTGAACAGTGATGTTCCACATAACAAGTTATAGTAATATGTATAATGTAGATCAAGTAATTGGTTATGTTACTAATAGAGAACAAAATTCAGTCTTTGGCTCTTATAGTTTGTTTTCAATTGATAGTTTGTCATAATATCTTTGATGTATTAGCCAGATGATTTACCTGCTGATGCCTAAATCCATGTGCATGATCTGTTACAGAATTCAGCCACTTCACATATTCCTGTAAACAGTTGGAAAAGAGTCATAAATCAGATTAACTGGAAATTGTACTTCATATCTGAACATCAGAGATTCTGAGAACAACCAGCTAATTGTTGCTAATTTCATGGTATGCCACCCTGATGTATGGTAGTTGCTCACCAAAGCTGATTCAGTTAAGAGTTCAAAAAGTTAGCAAAAATATACTTGAAAGTGTATACAGACACATAATACAATACACAAAATCCATGGTTATCCACATTTACCATCAGAATGTTGGGTACAATCTGACTGCTGTGCCTGCCTGAGCTGGTGACCAGACTCATTTGAGGTTCCACTAGTTTAAATTAGCCAGAACAGCTGCATCCATAGCTTTCTGTTGGCTCTCATGCATCTGTTGCTGCACCTATTGGAATAGTATTTACTACTGGTAATCATGTTTCATAAATTGGTATAAAGATACACACATTCAGTGATCAAGTAAGTCACAGTAAAGTAAGAGGTACTTGCTTTGCAGTCTTGACATCTTCAAGAGGTCAATCCCACAACATAGATTGTGCAGAAATGGCAGTTGGACTTGGGAAGTCCTATTATCCTAGTTGGAAAAATGTGCATGTGGCTTGAGGTTTTGTAAAGTTTGCTGAAGTGGAGGTATAGGTTGATCCTTTCATCAAGTCTTGGGGCCCACCATGGACTTTGTTTTGGAGTAAAAACCACAGCTACTTTTGCTGGTCTTTTATACCTCAGAGTATTGTTCGATTTGGCACTTTGACCAGTATTGTCTCAGAAACTGCCTTCATCAGATATGAGCTCTGTCTTAGACCCATGTGGCACCACATTAATTTGTTCAACAGCCTTTCAATAAATCCATTGATGAGTGTCTTTTCTTGTTAAAAAGGAAACACATTCAGGAATACCTTTCCATGCAGCCTTTTAAAATTTAAATGCATAAGCTGCTACTTTCTCAGGGAGACTTTGCCTTCAAGTTTTGATCATTGTTGTATAGATTACATGGTGATAGTTGCATCCCAGTAATTAAGTTTATCCTTGTCCAAATGCACTAGATTATTGTACACTGGACCACCTAGACTCAAAATCAGATATTGTATTGCCTTTCCACAAGTCCATTCATTCCAGAAGATAACTTACCTGAGGAAAACATCCAGGCTCTCTTTTGCCATCTCTTTAAATACACAAGTTAACCTGCTTCGTATTATTACTATTGTGAAATAGTAGTGCAAAAAAAGTGCTGTTTATTAGTACCTGTACTTCTGTGTAGTGTTTAGGGAAGGTCCTCATCTTCCTATAAAAAATCTGCAGACAGGTGTGTGTGTCGTGATGAATGTGATGTCTCAGGATGAAATCACCAGCAGAACACCATTATACATAAGGATACACAATATAATAAAGTCACACATATACCTCATATTTCAAACACAGTCTCAAAATGGTACCATTGTGTCTTGCCTTGCCCAGCTGGGAAGGCTCCTAATTGCCAAAAATATTTTGCAAGTGGACATTAACATGGCGATTGCTTTTCCTTGTGGCATTGTGGCTTTTCATTGCTATCTTTATCCACCACACAAATTTCACTTCTCTTCCTAGCCAATGGTGACTTAGACCAATTCCTGGCAATGCATGGGATGGTAAATGGACATCCATGAGTCCTACTGAAGACTACTGTAGTTATTCTCAGAATTTCAAGACTGTTGTTACCACTATGACCAGTCTCTAAATCACTGGGATATGTCCAGAGTAAGGGAAAATCCCCCTTCCCATTGTCTGTTAAAAATTCTTGGTTTTGAAGAAGGCCTCCCCAAGTTCTTGATGTAGTCTTAGAATGAGGCTTCACCTCAACTGCAGCTTTTCTTACGCAACTGTAAATTCTGTGTGGTCCCAGAATGTAGTCTCTCATAGTGAACATGGTTTTGCAAATTTAACACTAACCCTGCAGAAAGTTAACTAGAACAAAGAAACAGGATCAAATGATTGCCACAAAACACAACCTATTATATGGCATCAACTTGCAATTTAATAAATTAGTCTGTGATATTTAGACCAACTGGTTAACCTATAAGTAATTTTGAATAAGTAGAATATTCTGAAAATGTTTTGTAAAGAATAAATCAGATGTAAATTAAAATTAAACAAGTACATGTGTAAACTAAACAATAATGAAAATATTTTTTTCACACAAACAAAGAAGGAACAAGGATCTTACCATATTGGCTGGCTTCAGAGTTTGTTGTTTGACTTTTTAGCTGCTTGTGCTGGAAAGAAATATGTCTGCAAAAGACAAATACTCAAGAAATAATAATAATACTGCCTTGTTGAGTCAAAATGAAAGTTCCTTGTGTGTTAACCCATGATTCAATGTTATGTACACCAATACTATTGCCATTATAAATTTTTGAGGAAGATAAACCTCCAACTAACCTTAACCTGTACAAGTCTTTGCATCATTCATCAGTTTGTGTGAAGTCTAAACTTCAGGGGAGTGGCAGCACAGAAACATGGTCAAGCAAATATAAGCATTTATAAAGTAACAAATGTGGTATATTAATCTTTGTCTAAAACAGAAATTTTAGTGCAAGTTTAAGCTCTTTTTCATTATATTTACAAGAATGTCAACTACCTACATACAGAACAATTAAAACAAAATTTACAAAATGTATCTTATCATAATGACTAAAGTTCATCCAGCTCTTTCATCTAAAGCTGGTACCAATTTGTTAGAATATAAACAAAAAATAAAATAAGTTAAACACAAAGTAAAATTTTTAAAAAATATGAACTCTTCTCCATTTTCTAAAAAAAAAAGTTAAAAAATTCATTTAAACTTCTTTGACATTTTCCAGAATAGTGTGCCGAACTGGTGCGAGTAATGCCACTGATGCTGAGGTTATTGTTGGTAACAATGTGGGATTAACCAGAGCCAATGAAAGGTTCTCATATAAGGTAAGACCTAAACTGTATTACTGATAATAATTATAGATTCCACAAGTAGTAGGGCATTGAATCTTAGGGTCAATTTCTATAAAGTTTAAAACATTAAATATTCATCAGCATGCATTTTTATTTTTTTCAAACTTTACAATTATTGTTGTTCTCAACAAAAATTATCTTTGAGCAGTTTGATACTTAAAAATAATTGAAATTAGCTTCTAATCATGTAATATATGAACTCTTTCATTCATAGGTTATTAGTTTAACCAGCATATATCCGAATGTTGGGCCTCAGTCAGGAGGTACACATCTCTATTTGAAGGGATCAAACCTTAATATTGGAAGCAGAATGGAAATTTTCTTGGACAATATACCTTGTAAGATTGAAAGGTGAGAATATCTGTGCCCCTTGCTTACTATTCTTAGTGGACATCATGTTCCTGTGTTAGTGACCCATTGTAAAGAGAGATTTTATACTTTAAGTGGTAAAGAGTAACTTTGTCAGAATTATTTTATCATCACACAAAGGTAATTTAGAGAATGCCCCCCAGTGGCACAGTGGTATGTCTATGGACCTACAACACTAGAAACTGGGTTTTGATACCCGTGGTGGGCAGAGCATAGATAGCCCATTGTGTAGCTTTGTGCTTAATTACAAACAAACAAACAAATTTCCCATAAATTAGAGATCACTCAATCATCACCATGTATTTTAAAATTAAAAAATGGTGAGTTCCTTTTAGTGCAAATATATAAAAACTTCATAATGTATGAAACAAAACAAACACATGTAAAGCAAACTTAGATTTTGTGTGACCAACCAGGGCTGGCTCCATGGTGGGGTCTTAGGGGGCCTTGCCTATCAAGTTTAGATCTTATGCCCCCTCCCAAATTTCAGATTCCAAGCTGGTATAAAAGAAAATCAATGACAAATACAAATCAAAAACTAAAATAAAATACAATTAAAGCTAAATATTTAATAATAAGTATAGGTTTCTAATGCCTTAATGATAATACCAATGATTAAAAAAAACATTACATGAAACTACATTCATATGAATATCTTAATCATAAATCATATGATTTATTAGATAATGAACAGCAACATGTACTAATAGTGAATACAAGTTAATTGATTTTAGTTACCTTTTGAAAATCTGCCCCTCCCCTCCCAATATTACTGAGACCACTATATGCTGAAATCACTGTTTGAAACCAATGAGGAGTGCTTTCTTTCTTCAAGATTTTGGAGATACTCTGTGTGAATTGAATTTAAGGTGTCTTGTGAAGTCCTGATCAGAGCTAATCCTGTGATTCTGGTTGCTTTTGCTGTTTTTAATATTGAAGTTTGGTCAAACTAAATATGTAAAGACTCCTCTGCTTTCTTTCTATTATGATACGGTTTTAGTGTATTCACTGTATGTTTGTTTCATGAAATTTCTCCTGATAAATCATCTCCAATGAGAATAGCATGGTGAATAAATATTTACATATATCAGGCAGAATCCAGGATTTCTTTAATATGGCAGACATCACCAACTTCAATTGTGGTTAAACAACACCATACTAGGATGCTATATCCATTATTCTTAACTGAAGGATGCACATAGTTTTCCTTGAATTCCTCAACAGTCTTGTGATTAACGCACTGACATCTGTGGTTCCAAGAATCTCAAACTTTTGACTCATCAGACCAAAGTACTCTTCCATGTACAGGTTTGACAATTTTGGTTTTTTTACAAATTTAAGTCTCTTCTGTTTGTTGCCTTTCACACCAAAGGTTTTTCTACTGCAATGCACTCTTTCAGCTCTTCTTGATAGAATTTGTGTTACATTGTGGAAGGGGAACTTTAACACCAGTAGTTTCTTGAAGTAATGCTGAAGGAAGTTGCCAGATTTATGCCAGTCTTGAGTGAAGTAAGCCTAGGGTCCTTAGCATCTTATCTGGAAAGCTTAGGTGATATTTTGGGTGAAGGATCTTTAATTATTTTTGAACTCCAGTTTTTGAATAAATTTTCTTAAAACTGTAACCTTTTTTATATAAATCTGTTATATTATGTCTTACTTAATCAGAAATTGTGCACCTTGGAGCCTTATTTTATACTTGAAAGTAGAACAGTCGTGTTACAGTCACATCCTAAATTTAATCCAATTTTTACAAAAGTAAATAATAATTTCAATGATCAAGGAAAATGTTTTTAATATTTTTACAATAGAAAATTAATAAGTGTATGGAATGCTTTTTGATATTAGATGTTGATTAATAGCCACAGTATTACATCTATAAGCTATGTGCCCCAGTTTTTGGAAACATAATTTTGTCAGTTCTGACATTCTCACATCCTGTTTTTTAGAGTTTATCTAAACCAAATGCATGATTCAGAAGATTTTTAAATTAATGAGGATATTATATTGCAATAATTACTGTATTTCATCCTGCTGGACACTTCTGCATGGTAGACTGAATGGTACTCTCTAATTTATGCATATATATTTATTGATGTAATAATTTTGTGGATTCATAAAGTGAAATGTCTGTTTTCACTGATAATTAAAACCTCAAAATTCATATTTTTATTGATGTTATACTTAAACTAAATTTAGTTTGATGTTTTAGTAACCTATTAATGTTCATATGGATTGTTAGGACTTTGGCAAATGGCAGTCAAGTCAGTTGTTACACCACTAGAGCTCCCTATGCTTGGTACAATGTGACTCAACTGATCCTTCAAGTGGACAATGCTACTCTTACCCTTCCAAATCCTTTTCACTACACAAAAGACCCAAGAATTCTACGTATCAATCCTCTGAAGAGCTTTGTTAGGTTAGTTAAAGTAGTATGTGCAAAAAGATGTAAAACAGCAATCATTACTGTTTATTTCCAAACCGATATTAACTTTGTCTTTAGCTAGTTTTAGTTTTTATTTCATTGAGTTATGTGTTAATCTACAAATCATAATACTTTAGTTTAATAAGTAGCTTTAGGCTTATTCTGTAAGATTTTTCAGTTAGTTATAACAATCAGGATTGAGATTATCTGTTTGATCCAGGGTCACTTGAGCTTAGTAGATGGAAATTCAAAACATCTTTGTACATGCCTGGCTTAGTGGTGTGTATATATATATTATAATGCTGCCAGTATGAAAGTGTGATGCTGTGTGTGTTGGTGGATTAAGAATAGCAGATTGTGTTGAACTGATGGCTCATGAGTGGGAATATTATAAAATAGATGGAAGTTGCCTGCTTAGGCCTTGATATTTGATATCTTGGTGCTGGTAAGACAATGTACATTATTGTGTATATATATGTATATATATATATTGGCTCAGTTGGTAAGAGCAACATACATTACAGTATAGATAAGTACATATATATATATATCTGTGTTGGCAAAACATGTTTGTAAGATAACTTTAAAACATTCCACAAAAGAAAAATATGTAATTGCCTTTGATTTTCAGTCATTTTCCATCATGTCTTTAAAATGTCCTTGAACTATTCTATGTTCTAGTGGTGGAAGAAATATCAGTGTTGATGGAGAATTTTTATCCTACATTCAGAAACCATGGATGATTGTGTTCAAAGATAACATTCTGCTCAATAAAACGGTATGATATTTATCTATCTAAAGTACAGGGAAAAAACTGAACAACTAGGGTCAAACTGTTGTTAAAAAAATAATAATAATTGCATTTCCCAAAGTTGTATTAACTCTTTCACTGCCATGGATATATATATAGAAGTGTGTATACACTTTAGAGTATACACTTCCATCAGAGTTTCTACAACCATGAACAAATTGTAATCCCCTTCAGACTTCTTAAAGATTACCAATTTTGCATTTCAGATAAGTAATTTGATATTAAGATGAGTCTTTTTCTTTTCAGTAGTGTGCCTAAATTACATTTGACCCTTGGAGAATTTTTGTATATAAATGTGGCAGTAAAAAAAAAGAAAAAAAAGAGTTCAAATGCTAGTTTTATTGAATTATATATTTTACTACTAATTAAATCTGATAAAGTTTTAATAAAGTTCTGAAACACATTAATAACAAAAGTATATATTTTTGTGTCTTCAGTTTCAATATTTTCTACAGCATAAAGCACCCTTTTCATGTACTGAACATTATAATGTTTGATCAACTTCTTTTTATAACAAATTACTGTATTTTTCTTATAATTTTAGCATTACGATGATAACAGTTTAACCTATCATTAATACTACCTTTTTACCTTGTTCCCTAATTATACCCCATTCTACATCTTATTTTTCTTCATTATTCTGGCCCTCTGTACTGCCTAATCCTACTTTATAGTTGCCCTTACAGTTGAGTTAACAGCCTTTACTAACAAGCCATACAGCCCCTACTCTATTTAAATGTAAACCATTTATTCCAAAATGTTCCCTTTTCTCATGTAACTGATCCCATAAATCCAATCAGCCAACCTATTCTACCTTATACACATATTAACCTAAGCCTAGTTTTCAGCCCTTGTGACCTACTTATAATTGCATCCCAACAGTTAAGTCTAGGCGGTTTCCCTGACAGAATTAAGTTTTTATATGGCCTTTTTCTTTGAATGCCTTTATTAATGCCTTGTACTTAACAATTATCTCTTCTGATCTACCCTTCCTTACATCATTAGCCCATATGTGCACTACAAAGACTGTATCAGTACTAGCATCCTTTACTATATCCTGGATAGCATAATCTAACTCTTTTTTTTTATCCTTTACATAGGTAAGGGTACAAGTGTGTATGTGTTATATCTGGATTTTCATAAAGCATTTGATAAGGTGCCACATAAAAGGCTTGTTAATAAAAGTTATTTTTGTACGTGCGAGGGATAGGTTGGCTCATTGGATAGAAAATGATCTAGATGGAAGAAGGCAAAGGATTGACTATTTAAATTTGCTGATGATATTAAGGAATTGGTTGTGAGGAAGATGCTGCTGCTCTACAAAAGGATTTAGATCATTTAGTGAATTGGCTAAATAAATGGCTGATGCGTTTTAATTATAAATTAGTGCAGGTTATCATCATTTGAATTATAAGTATAATTTGAATAGGAATAATCTTAACAGCGTTATGGAAGTAATGGATCTTGGTTTAGTGGTTTATAAAGTCTCTTAAGCCATCCAAGCAGTGTGCTGTTGTTAGTGGTAAGGCAAATAGGATTTGTTAGGTTGTATCTACAGAAATATTGAATACAAGTATAAAGAGATTATAATTTCATTGCATAGGTCAATGATTAGGCCAAATTTGGAGTATTGTGCTCAGTCATGGGCTCCTTATCATAGGAAGGACATTGAATTGTTGGAAACGGTTCAGAGGAGGGCTACAGGATGATACCTGGGATGAAAAAGTTGTCATACGAGAAGTTAAGATGTCTGAAATTGTTTTCTCTTGAAACAAGAAGAATTAGAGGGGATCTGATTGAGGTGTTTAAAATTGTTAAGAGAATTGATAGTGTTAATGCATCATCTTTTACATATTTCATGGTGAGAATGATAAGACTAGGGGACCCAAAATAAATTTTGGATGGAAGAAGTCATCTTTAGCCAAAACAGCTTTATTTTTCTAATAGAGTGTTTGGCCTTAGGAATGGGTTGCCTTCATATGTGGTGGATGTAGTGAATTTAAGGGAAAGCTTGAAAATATTTGAATGATAAGGGTTCGTTTTGACATGTTTTTCTTCTCTTTTTTTTTTAAGGGTTGTATCACTTATATATGTTGATAGAGAACCATAAAGGTTTAGAGTAGTGGATAGGACAGCCTAGATTGACCAAAAGGTCCCTTGATGTCCTTTAATGTTATGTTATGTATTACAATGCACCTTTTTAGAATGTTGAATAATTTACACTTGTAATTGAAATGTAGTAATTAAATCAATGTGCCTTTAATATTGTAGTAGTACTTGTATGATCATTCCAGCTGTGTACAGTGCATAGCCACAGCCAGATGGTATGTCCATCTCCAGCCATTAACAGAGAGATTGAAGGTATTCTTGCTAGGCAGGACAATAACAGTATGAAGTTCACTGACAAGCTGAAATACAGAATTGGCTTTGAAATGGATAATGTGAAAAGTGTGTTAAAGTTGCAGGAAAACTTTCCAGCCCTTCACTCAAATATAGCCTATGTTGCTGATCCAGAGTTGTTTAGTTTCCAGAATGGTGGCATTAAACAGTATAAAGGAGAATCGTTAGTAATTGAGGTGAGAAAGGTATATTAAAATATTTGCTTTTGAAAAAAGTTATTTATCTAATTAACACTAATGTTGGATAAGTTGAAGTGGTTCCTTAATAAAATCCTTTGACAATTATATAAATAATAGATAAGTACTTGCATGTTGCAGTACATTTCATGAGCATGTTATATTATATTAAAAACTGAGTCACAGTGTGTCTATTGCATGTTTAGCATTCTAGTGATACATCTAGCTGTATGGAAGGTTATCCCTAAAACTTTTATAAAGCTAATTTGTATAACAGTAAATATGTTACTGTCAAATTAGTTATTTTCTTAGCAGTATAAGTTTAAAGAAACTGGTGAAATGTTTTTTGGTGATTACTGACTAATATGTAAAATTTATTAATATTTATGCATCTTTAAAATTTTTGCCATGAGAGAATGGGTTTACAGCACTCTAGTTATTAAGATTGCAAGTAATTATTATTTACTACCGTTAGTATGAGAAAACTATGTGTAGCTCAGTGTTGTTCATACAATTTTAAGTACCATAAGCATTAGCAACATAACACTGTTAATTGTTTGGGAATATGCTGTGAACCAAGTATACAGGTGATAAACATATAGCGCATGACACCACTGCTGACATATTAAGTAACATGATATAGCATTATCATTTACAAATTACTCAAATAAAGTGTAAATACACTTCTTTAGTTGTTCTTAGAGAGAAAACTTTATTATTTCTTTGTACATTGTTGACTATCCAAGTGTAGGTATTGTTCAGTGATAGAATATTTGTTTATTTAGGGAAAGAATCTTATATTGGCTGCTACTGAAGCAGAAGTCAGAGTGACTGTTGGAACCCAAGTATGTAATCTGACGTCGTTGGCTATGACTCAATTAGTCTGTTTACCTCCACAAGACCAACCACCTATCAGCAGTGAGCAAAGAACAGATACTGATCTCCCTCTGGTTGTAGTGAGTGAAACTGGCTTTATGAGATATATTAATTTCTAGCCATAAACCATAGATTCCACTATGTTGATTAATCATACAAAAAGTTATATACTATCCAAGAAAATTAGTGCAGGTTTTGTATGTTTATAAATCTTTTTTTTAACTTATCCATTAATTCTGAAAAAAAATGGGAAATGTGTAACTTCCTTTTAAAGAATTGACAGTGAAATTTTGTTAATGGATTGCACTTTTGGAATTATTTCAAATAAAGTTGAATCTTGGATTCTGAAGAAAGATGTCTAACATTGTTATGCTCAGTTACTGGATATTTTAATAAAGTTGAAGCTTGGATTCTGAAGAAAGATGTCTAACATTGTTATATTCAGTTACTGGATATTTTCATAAAGTTGATGCTTGGATTCTGAAGAAAGATGTCTAACATTGTTATGCTCAGTTACTGGATATTTTCATAAAGTTGATGCTTGGATTCTGAAGAAAGATGTCTAACATTGTTATGCTCAGTTACTGGATATTTTCATAAAGTTGATGCATGGATTCTGAAGAAAGATGTCTAACATT